AGGTGTATATGACTCCTCTAAATCATGCCATTCTTGCTTCTAGAGTACACAGAAGAGCTAAGTCATTAGAGAGTTAGTTCACTGTTCTCCTTCCCTCCCTTCCCTTCCCCCTCCCCTCACCTGCCCTCCCCTCTCCTTCCTTTCTTATCTCCCTTTGAGTGTGTAGCTACACTTCATGTTTGCACTGAAAGGATTCTCTGGACATGGAGGATGGGTAGGACTTCCTGGAAGTGCATCTGTACCATCAGCTGTGGTCTCAATTTCTCAGTTCTTCCAAAAGGACTGTTTGATCTGACAAGGAAATGTGAGGCAAGGAACTCCTGTAGATCTTAACAGAAAAAGACAATCAGAGATAGCCAAATCCACTCTTGCCTGACAAACAGAGGGTCTTGAAGGACACTGACAAGGTGCCTTGTTTGGACAGTTGGCATCCTCATCCAGAATTGTGAAATTTAGACATGTCCTCCGGCTGAACGTGATGTTTGTTTTCACTCAGCCTTAGTGTCTGTCCCTCACATCTCATTATCCTGGGGCTCATTGGGCATGAGCACTTGTGCTTAACATTGCTTTGAATAAGCCTCCTAAGTCACAAAACAGGAACAAACACCCATTAAAGAAACAAGTATTGCCAATGTTTAGCCAGTTCCCCAAAGCCTTTGGAATAAATGCTGATTTATCCTTAGGAAAAACAAGAGTAGAACAAGAAGGTATTGATGAAACATTAAAATCATGGAAATGGTTAAAGAGCAGCTATTTATTAATTCGTTCACCTCCCTGTCCACCTTTCCAAAAAGTACCATTTATACTCTGCAGGGTTAGCTTGGTGTAAGGAAGCCTATCTAATGAAAATGCCATGCTGCAGACTGAGCTGGAGGGAGCAGTGTGAGGGCTCAGACCCAGGCCTTCGAGGCCGGGGTCGGACACTGTGGTACTTGGTTTGCGGTGGAATATCTGGAAAAGGCATTGGTTACATTTTTGTAACCCTGGCTAATGAGTCCCAGTCGGCAAAGCTGAGCTGCACACCACACAGGCAGCAGACCATCAGCTAGTTTCCCATGAATGCAAAGATGTCATGGAAACAGGTCTTGCCTTTTCATGTAACCTGGCAGCTAATTTCTCCCTTAATTAGCCACAATACTATTTACGTAAAGACAAACAAAAAATGTTATTTTCTTAAATAAAATTGTATCGGAACTTGAGACATTATTTTCCAAGTACGTGATATTTTCTTTCAAAGGAAAGTTTAAAGGTCAGGGAGATTTTTGGTGGTCTATTAACCATTGTTGTTAGGGTTTCTTAAAGGAGCATGTGCTGAAGAGAGAATGTGCTTCACCTGGCTGGTTTGGCTCTGTTCTAAGAAGCTAATAAGTCTTCAGTGTTTTGAACTTTGCAAAGAGTTTGGATATCCAGGATTTCAAGTAGAAGTCCTTTCATGGATTAGACAGGGATGAAAGGGATTAGAGAGAAATGTCAGGATACTGCTGCTTGGAAGGGCTTCCGAGTCATCCATACCCTGTCTACCACCTGTCTCAAATTGTGTGGAGTAGAATTCAAAATCAAGTCAATCTGTGAAATGTGGACCACCATTTTGCCTGTTGGCACAGCACATCATAGTGAAGTAGTGTAGGCTCAAGGAGTTCAAGATGAAAACAATAGCTTTATTTTAATGAAGATTTTTCTACTTTTGTTCATGCAATATCTTCCTTAATAAAAAAAAAATAGCAAGGCTGATGTATTAAGGACATACCAAGGTCAGCAAAGTGTTGCCATTTTAACTCATCTGAGGACTTGTGGAACATTGACTGGGGATGTGTCTGTGCTTCCTAAGAGTTTGGTTTGGTAAGTCATTCTCCTCAATCTAGTCATCTTGGGGTGACTAGATTCTCCACCCTTAGGAATCTGTGTTTGAAACCCAGAAGGAACCCTTGAACACCACAGTATGTTCAAGTTTCTGGGTGTATGTCTGAAGGCATGCCTGGTCTTGTTTTCTACAGATTAACAGTTACCAGATACAGTCAAGTTCAGTTCACCTTTAGACACAAGAGAGTTGAACCGTGTCTCTGTACCTTAAAAACATTACATTTACTCCAGAGAATGAAGGTCAGAGGACATCTTGAGGGAGAAGGCTCTCTTCCATGCCTGGGTCCAAATGCAGGTCATCAGGCTTGGCAGCAAGTGTCTTTCTCCCTGAGCTATCTTGCTAGCTACCCTTGATTTCTTTTGTGTTTTAATCCCTGATCAATCTAAAGGCAGTCTTTCACGTCTTTGGTATTTAAACAAAATTTATTCTTATTTTATTTTACATGTTTGGCTGTTTTGCCTGCATGTATGTCTATGTACATGTGTTTCTGGTACCTGTGGAGGCCAGAAGAGGGTGTTGAATCCTCTGAATCTGGAGTTACAGACCATTTTAAATATTGGAAACTGCCCCTGGATCCTCTGGCAGAGTAGCCAAGTGCTCCTAATAACTGAGCCATCTCCCTAGCCCCTATACCATGTTTGTTTGTTTAAATAAAATTTTTCTTTGGTGTCTTTTATCCTACTCTAATAAAAATGTCTGAAAACTATAGTTAAATTATTTCTCACTTTCAAGAGATTTATGTTCCATTTTAAACTCAGTGCTAAAGAAATAAAACTCTGGCAGCAGCTATGGTCACCTAAATAAGACCTGTATAAAATCATGTCAGTCAGTAATTCCATCACAGATGCAGGGAGGGGAAGGGTATCATAAGGCTCAAGTTCTAGATGAGGAGGTTTTTGCAACTGATGGCTGCAGAGAGAAAGGCAGCCGTTCTTCTTTGTGGGTATTGTCACTGGTAGGTTGTCTGTGCTCTGGCAAGTGGCAGTAGATAGACTCGGTGTGTTATAAAGAAGGAGAAGGAAGAAGAGGAAACAGAAGAGGATGAAGATAGAAGGGGTATGTGTTTGGGAAGTCTGGTGAGAGCACAAGGAGGAGCTATATAAATATAAACTATATATAATGTGTGGATAAACTATGTGTTGACATTAATAAATATTTGTATGAAATATATGGATATTATTGTTAAATAATATATATACAAATATATCTGTGAGATATATATATATATATATACATATATATATATGTCAATATATATGAAAGAGAGTGCATCTTTAGGCATGAGAGAGCAGGAGGATTTATAAGAATACTATATTAGATAGATTCATATCTTTTTCATGGTTGAATAACAAGGGCCTAGGCTCCACATATGTACATGTGTGGACATGTTATTTTAAGATGTTTTCACTGGGTGGTGGTGGTTCACACCTTTAATCCCCATTCTTGGGAGGCAGAGGCAGGCAGATCTCTATTTGAGGCCAGATTAATATACAAAATGAGTTCTAGTACATCACTTTATGGTGTGTTCTAGGGATGCGTATCCACATGTTCCTTCATAGGTTGTATGCTTCTGCTTCTCAAGGAAGGTGGGGCACCCATAGGGCTGCTTGGTTCTGTATACCTATTAGCTCCTTGATAGTAGTTCCCATGTTACTGAACCAGGGAAACTGATAGCTGGGTGGTAGTTTTAAACCTCAAAAAAAAATGACTTTTGAAAGAAGATCTTTGTAGGAGGTGGTTCTGATGCTAAGGTCCTGTTCTCTAATTGATGCTTGATCCATCAATAAAGATGCTAGTGGCTAATAAGCTGAGCAGAATAGGCAGGACTTTGCATCCCTGCAGATGCAGGAGAACTGGGGTAAGGTGGAGAAGACAGGAGTTGTAGGAAAAAAAGCCAACCAGCCATGTGAGTTTTCGGTTGGAGTGGCCAACGGCTACTCTTAGATTATGCCTGTGGTGGCAGGGGAGGTTTAGGAGTGCCCAGCCATTTTAAGATTCTCTCTCTCTCTCTCTCTCTCTCTCTCTCTCTCTCTCTCCCTCTCTCACGCTCTCTCCCTCTCTCTCTCTCTCTCTCTCTCTCTCTCTCTCTCTCTCTCTCTCTCTGTGTGTGTGTGTGTGTGTGTTGTTATTGTTGTTGTTGTTGTTTTTATCTGTGGATCTAAGGGAATCTGGGTTGGGGCTGGTAGTGAAGTCCACCCAGAGCTTAAAGCTGGGTAGCAAAAACTATACACTACAGACATTTATAAATATATATACACAGATAATGATTCCTTGATTGTTTCTGCAATCTTGTAGGAATAAATACAAGAAATGTATTTCCTGTAAAGTCTTTTGAACAACTTTGATGAGTCAGTATCTGGCTAGGGTTTACGTGGGAATCAATTACTCTTTTGTTTGCTATTCTTCAGGCTCTGAATTTAGGCCAATGTCTTGGGTGATACTTAAATCATACTTGAGTTGCCTACGTAAAGTGGTGTGTATGAAGGAGAAAAACCTTCTGTGATACTACTTTTCCGAGTTCTCTTTTTCCTTACTAGCAGAAATAATATAAACTTTGTTTTTGTTTTTATTGTCGTTATTTGTCTTTTTGTTCTGTTTTTTTCTATTACATTTTGTTTTTGTTTGTTTATTTGTTTCTTTTGAGACAGGGTTTCTCTGTGTAGTCCTGGCTGTCCTGGGACTCATTCTGTTTGATCAGGCTGGCCTTGAACTCAGAGATCCATCTGAGATTGCATCTGCCTCTGCCTCCCTAGTGCTGAGATTGAAGGATTGTGCCACCACTGCCCATCCCTGAAATAGCATAAACTTTTAAGGTGACATTAGTTGGATTAATTTGAAGCCTTCACTTGTGAGAGAGGGGGTAGCCCACTATTTCAGGAAAAACTGAGTTCTTAAAGCTCTTGCAAATTTGTTTAGCAATCAGAAACTCCAACAACATGAAATAGGAAAGGCTTACTTTCTTTTATTTATGTATTTATTTTTAAACAGAGGGATGGCACTTTATGAGACAATGAGGCCCTGGAGTCTCAATTACCTTCTTCTAAATCCTCTACTTGGTACTGTTCCCAGTATGTCTATGAAGCATATCATAATCCATTGATGGGGAGAGTCATCTTGACTTTTTTTTTTTTTCAGAGTCTCTATTTGGCATCTCAGTTCTGCAAAATCCTTCAGATGAGTAGTCCATGTGTGAACCTATGGTAAGCATCAGGTTGAGGCAGTGTCTCACTTACGAAAAGTTTGCTTCCTGTTACTCTCACCTGATATCATTGCAGTCACTGAGTGTAAGGCTAATGACAGACTCAAGACTCTCATACCCTTCTTCTGGATTGCAAGTGGAAAACTTTAGTGGTCAGCTCTTAAGTAGGCATATTAAAGTTTAAATTGTAGCTTTGTGCTTTTCTAGATATGGAATCTGTGATATGAGTAACATTGAAACACTTAACAAGACAGGAAATTATGCAGGCTAGCTAAATTTAGATCAAGAATAGTAAATATATAAAAATAATTGTGAATTATTGTAACTGTGTCTTCTATTATTCTACTAAAAGTAATTTGTAATTGAATAGGAAATGAAGGTCAATGACAGTCAGAATTAATTCTTACTGAAATTCAACAACAGTCAGAATTAATTCATTTAGGTTTATCAAAGCCATGAGATTTATGGAAGAGAACTTTATACTTTAAACCACCTTTAAACATTCACAGAGAAAAGTTCCATTTGATCTTCAGTTACTTCTCGCATGTATATCATGGCAGACTCTTTGTATGCATTTTGATAGTTTGACTATTGAGATTTGAGCCCTTAGTCTTAACATTCTGCTTCTCTAGTCCCATAGAATTAAACTACAATGGCTTATGCCTGTAACTCAGCCAAGACTCTTCCTTTCACTGTTTATGTCTGCAAGCCTCCCCTCTTCTGGTTAACTATTTTCCTAACAGTCATTGCCTAAGAGTCTTCTAGAGATAAGCAGTGGTGGGAGTTTGAGTTTTCGACTGTTTCATTCCCGCAAGCCTTTTAGCTCATGGTTGGAGGAGCAGAAATATGAAAGCTGAGACTCTCTGGTCAGGACAACTTCCAAATGAAGTTTATTTTACAGATATCCTTGGAACTCTGTGGCTGGTTGTTTTCACTTGACTGACTGTGAATCTGTGTGGAAGGGAGCCCTCATCTAAGCATCTGCCCTGGAACCTCCAGGTTCATACTCAGGTAGACTTAATTTCCAGATTTCCTTCCTTTGATTGTAATGTTGAGTCAGTGAAGAGAAGCCTGGTCTGTAACAGATACACTGTGTTTCTCAGCTTTCATCTGGATGAGAATATCTTCTCTTACAGTGACTTACTCCCTCGAAGGAGCCCTTACCACTGATAGAATCAGGACAGGGAATAGTTTCCAGAGTAAGGGATGCAGAGCCAGAGTGCTGAATTCATCCAAGGCTGGGGAGGAAATGTGTGTCATGAGTCTAGCACTAGCTCAGGGGTAGAACAATTGCCTACCCTTTATGTGAGGCTCTAGTGTGATCACTGGCATCACCAACAAGCAAAGTAAAACAAACAAACAAAAATTAATGAGCCTGCTATATAAAGGTGGTAAGTTGTACTTTCTCATAATATCAGATATACCTTTGTTTTTAATTTATAGCACATTTTAGCATATGGAAAGCTTTAAAGGAGTTTACTTTATTATAGTTATCAAGTCTATTTCTCAGTTGCTTTCCTTGTCTTTAGGGCAGGAAAGAATTAGATTTCAATTTGCAATCAAATGCATGAAAGCTTACTTCAAGTCAGTACATTCTTCTACTATGTCCTAATGAACAAAACCTTAATCCAGTTTCTCCTCCTAATTCTTAGATTTAATGATTTTTTCATAGCAAATATGAGAAGGGAGAACTAACATGCAGGGCTATTTGAAGGATCATATGGAAACCAACTACTGTAATACTTAATAAAATGTAGACATATATAAAAATATAAATGGAATAACCAAATAACAAGGTAGACAGTGTTATGACTAGACACTCTTCATCAGCAAATAAAACCTCCAGTGCCAGAATACGGTTATATGTAGTTGGATTGTTGGCCAAATGGGCCCTATGGAAACTCAAGCTACTGCCAAGGCTATCAATTGCTCTGCACAAACTGATTGTAAGGCCCTATTGCCGAAAACAACATCTAGATATTTTACTGAACACAGAAGTTGATCTGGTGCCTTCCTAGAGCTTTCATTGTTATCGACTAGAGTTTATGGTACTAGAAAGTACTATGTGTAACTGTCATAGGAGAACGGTAACGACTACCTAGCTATCTACAAGCTGCCTGTGATCTACAAGAGTAACCTGCATGCAAGATACACTGGTGCAATAGAGGCACAAATACCATGAGAGTAACCACCTAATCTCTGATGGGTTTTAAGGCCTGCTCCATGACATGGAATTCATGCCAGATACTGCTTCGATGGCCGAAAACCTATCGGTAGGCCATGGACTAGGAGAAAACCAAATGCGGTTGTTCTGCTAAAGAAACATGGAACACAGCAATTAAATGATACTCTGTTATACCCATAGATTAGTGCATTGCTCAGCCATCATTAGAGATGCTTCCTCTTGAAGTAAATGGGAACTAACACAGAGAGCCACTACTGGACCATGTGCAGAGAGCAAGTGACTTCAAAACTCTCATTCCTAAATGTGACATACTCATCAATGCCCCTTCTCTCAGAATTCTGAGAGCTATGGGAAAGGGGAAGGAGAAACGTTATAAGAATCAGAGGGGGATAGATGACTCTAAGGAACCAGTGTCTTCCAGAAACAGTAAGACTGATGCACATTTGAACATACAGAGACTGTAGCAGCATGAACAGGGACAACACAGGTTCAAAAATGGATAAAGTTCCAGAGCTGAGAGAGGGAACTGGACATAGGCTTCCACTCCTGATCAGGAAGATATCTGCTATTGATATCACTCGAAGAGGAAAACCTAGTTTTCCCCAAAAATGTTTCACAGGGTATATTAATCACATGCCTTGTGTCCAGATAGCACAAGACAAATTCAAGGGTATTTTTTTAGGCTTTGTGTCTTTGCTTGAAAAGTTTTTGTCTTACAGTTTTTGGTTGTATTATGATTTCTGATTTTCTGTTTTGTGTATATGTGTGCGTGGGTGTTTCTTGTGTTTTCCTCTTTCATTTATTCTTCCTTTGCCTGTTTGTTTTCTAAAGGAAGCAAAAAAGAAAGGGTATGAAACTGGGTGGATGGGAGATATGGAGGAGCTGGGAGAAGTTGGGGAAAGAGAAAGCATAATCAAAGTACATTATAAAAAGTTATTTTTCAATAAAAAAGACAAAGCAAAGAAAGTGTTCACTTTCTCCATCTTTTCTGTTGATGCTGGAGCATCCTCACCTACTGTCCTCTGCAGCACCCACACGTACTGTCCTCTGCAGCATCCACACCTACTGCGCTCTGCAGCATCCTCACCTACTGCCGTCTGCAGCACCCACACCTACTGCCCTCTGCAGCACCCACACCTACTGTCCTCTGCAGCATCCTCACCTACTGCCCTCTGCAGCATCCACACCTACTGCCCTCTGCAGCACCCACACCTACTGCCCTCTGCAGCATCCTCACCTACTGCCCTCTGCAGCACCCACACCTACTGCCCTCTGCAGCATCCTCACCTACTGCCCTCTGCAG